ATATATAAAACTTGGATAAATAGGGCAATATTTGGGATGCGATTCATGCCGAATCATTGAAGTTATTCTATGCAAATATCTATCTTGTGATGTGTAATTGCAGTGAATATATTATTAAATGACATTAGCCAGTTCTTGTGATGTGTAATTGCAGTGAATATATTATTAAATGACATTAGCCAGTTCTTGTGATATGTAATTGCAATGAATATATTATTAAATGACATTAGCCAGTTCTTGTGATATGTAATTGCAGTGAATATATTATTAAATGACATTAGCCAGTTCTTGTGATGTGTAATTGCAGTGAATATATTATTAAATGGATCACAAGAACTGGCTAATGTGTAATTGCAGTGAATATATTATTAAATGACATTAGCCAGTTCTTGTGATATGTAATTGCAGTGAATATATTATTAAATGACATTAGCCAGTTCTTGTGATGTGTAATTGCAGTGAATATATTATTAAATGGCATTAGCCAGTCAGTCCAAATACACATTTTTGGATCACTAAAGTAAAGTAAATGATTTCCGAGAATTGAGTAAATGTTTTGTCCATAAAATATACTGATTCTAGGACACTATTCTTACTAGCGATTGTTTTGGAATCGTAGTTATTAAATCTTAAAATTTCAGTGTCTTGAAACTACCGTTCATATTACATGATTCTATTTATCTATACACTTGAATACGAAATAACGACCTATTTACAACCTGTAGTACTATAATAGTTATAAAATTGTACTACTTTACGATTTGAATATATTAACTGAGAAGAAAAAAAAAACACAAATCAGATACTCAGCGTAGGCTACTTCCACTAATCAGTTTACCAAACCGTTAAAGTGGATGACACTCTTTAATTTACCGTTTCAATACAGTTCTCGTGTTGGTGTGTGAATATCAACTTTTACCTCCTCTCTTGTACATAAATCACATTGTATACATATCCAGTGACAAAAAGCAATGAAATTATTTTTATATTTGTAAAATAAGAATATTTAAAGATTATTTAATAGATTGAAAATAAAGTTCATGTAATGTCCAGTTGGCATTGTCCACTAAGCCCAGTCCAGAGAAGTGTTTCAGCCTATGACACATACGGGAACAATAAGTCTTTGCGTATTTTTTCCTTTTTAATTAGATTTGGCCCGTCATGGCCAGGTGGTTAGGAAGCTCGACTCACAATCTGAGAGTTGCGGGTTCGAGTCCCCGTCACACCAAACATGCTCGCCCTTTCAGCCGTGGGGGCGTTATAATGTTGCAGTCAATCCCACTATTCGTTGGTAAAAGTTGGCGGTAGGTGGTAATGACTAGCTGCCTTCCCTCTAGTCTTACACTGCTAAATTAGGGACGGCTAGCGCAGATAGCCCTCTTGTAGCTTTGCGCGAAATTAAAAAATAAACAAACAAATAATTAGATTTTCGAATTCGATGACGAGGAACCCACTTTGAGACTAATAATGGCTGGAGACGGCTTGAATGGGTAATGAAGAAAAACTTTAATATAAGTTTAACATAACAGCAAATGTACAACGTTTCGACAAGGTTTTGTCATCATCAGATTTGTAGAATTCTCTTAAGTTGCGCAATGGTCTTGTAGTAAAAATAATTTACAGAAAAACAATATTTTGTTTCGGATCATAAATGGATTCGTAAATGAGAATTTTTCGGAAAAGTTCTTCTCACCAAGCATATTTCCTACTTCTGAATATAAAATATTAATTTTTATTATTGTGTGACTTGAATTATGGCTATAGAAAATTTTAAATATAAAAGTACTAAATATTGTAAGTGAAATATAGAAAAAATAAATATACTTACAGAAAGTATAATGCTGGATTATGTAATCCTAGGCTGATGGCTCGTGAAAGTAATAACGAACTTTATTTTTTTTTAGTGTAACCGGATTTTCCGAAACTATAGAAGATATATAAACTTCATTTATTCGGTAGAAGAATAAAATATTAAATATAAAGACTATAGCACTAGACGATGTAACACTAGGCCGATGGCTCGAAAAATTAATAACTAACTTTCTTGTTCACTTTTTTCTATGTACCCGGATTTTCTGAAGCTATAGAAGATATATAAATTTCATTTAGTCGACAGTTCCAATTGGAAATTTCCAATAACTTATTTTTTCAATTTACAAAATTAAAAAAAATCTTATAAAATTACTTTTTTTTAAGTGACGTTGATTTA